GACCAGTCAATCCAACCTAAACAGCTTGAAAGCTTCAGTATTATTTTTCCCAATGTGACATGCTGCTCTAGACAAGACATCGATGCTTTCAGGTCAGCATACAGTATAGCTAAGCCAATCATGACTTTGGTCTTGAGCTGAGGATTGAGTGGCAAGCCCCGACCAATGACCGGCTGTGTTCAACGCTTTTTGGGAGAACCCCGAGGCTTTGCTTGCGAATGATCAGTTCGGTGAGGAAGGTTAGGCTGCTTTAGTCGTCTTATTGACCTGAGGTGGTTCAACGCTGGGTCAGAACTCAGCCCACTAATTTGGTTGACAATGCTCCCCAATTCAGGCTCAGGATTTGATGAATCATCGCCATTTTTTTGGCTTGTTGCACTTCTTCTCCTATTAAAGCTTCATACAAGACTGCATCTAAGCAATTGATGGTCGACTTGAAGGCAGAATTGTGCTTGATGTAGCGTTGAACAAGATAGCAAGCTTTGCGGATGAGGGGATTTGAAGGCCATATTTTGAGATCTGCACGAATGAATTTGGGTGTGGCACCTGATTGATGTTTGACTGTTGCTAGCGGTGATATGAACTCCACATGATAGCTAACCAATGACTTGACACTACATTCAGCTGACCAAACCGTGTCAGGGTGAGAGAATTGATGTAAGAAAGCTGAATTGGCAGAAACGATGTCCACGAGTCCAGTTGAATTCAAAAATTTGAAAAGGTCGTAAACATTGGGTCTCCTACACAAGACAGCCCCGATAGCTGTCCCTTTCCATACATATACCAGCTCGTCGGAAGAAATTCCTTCCGACGAGCTGGTACACAATCCAGCTCGTCGGAAGGGAATCCTCCCGGCGAGCTGGTACATATAACAGCTCTTCGGAAGGGAATCCTTCCGACGAGCTGGTAAAGAAACCAGCTCGCCGGGAGGAACCCCTCCCGACAAGCCGGTGTGACCTCGGCCTCTTTAGGCCGAGGGGATTTGAAAAAAAAAAAAAATGAAATGAAATGAAAAAAAACAAAGGGGCCGTCCCATAGGACCCATGCCTGGGTCCCATGGGACGGCGGAGAATCCTTGGCGTGCAGGCCTGCACACCGGTCTACACTCTGTAGATTGGCGTGCGGGCCCGCACGCTAATTTTCTTTGGCGTGCAGGCGTGCACGCCAATCCGTACCTGGCGTGCGCCAGGGGGGGTGGCGTGCGTTTATCAAAGCCCCTTTCAGCCATAACAACTGGATTGGAGTAAATGCTTTGATTGAAACCAACATTTCTGGACTAGTATAGCTTACTGATGACGGTATGAAGTGATTTGTCTAGAACCAAATTTGTTTGACAAAGGGGACTTTATTTATGTTCGATACTCGTGTTGTGGCGGGATTTGATTTTACAAGGAACAGGGACTGGCCCCCTACCTTCAGGTATTTCCGCATCTCACCCGATTATTTGTGTGGTTCAACAATGACAGTTAAGATGCATGTTTGGGTTTCAGGGATATGAAGAAATGCGCAATCATGTCACAGCACTTATGGTGAGTTGACCCGAGTCACATGATAACACTTGTGTCAAGCAAGTGATGTGATGAAAACATACTTCAATTCAAATGCATCTGATTGAATTGAGCTATCTTTACCCAAACAAACACCAGAGCAAATACATGTGATGCTACATAATACACACATATGGCCCAAACTGATTGCTGCAACGAGTTTTTTTGGTGAGTTGGGGGTATGAATCACGTGAAATCCACTATTATAAGAGCTTTGTTTGTTCCAATCTAGGATTAACAGTTGTCATTACCCCTGCACCTCCTGATTTTTCTCCCAAGCCACATCCAAAATCTTCGCTTCCAACAGCACCAACATGAATCCATATGTTTGTACGTGTGAAAATTACTCCTGTGACAAAGCCCAACATACAGTAGAGGGCATAGGCATTGTTCCCGGAAGAGTATTGTCAAGGCAGGTGCATCAAGAGCACCAGAGGAAGGAAGCGCAGAGGTTGGAAAGGATGAGACAGGCACTGTGCGAGAAACAGGAAGAAATCTCAGCCACCATCCAAGTAAGTTGTGATGCATAGTATGTGGCCAGTTGTCATTGTTGCTAATGTGCTTCCTCAGTGTGATGCAGCAACTGCCCCTGCAGGTGCGGGGGTGGCAGAGTCTGCCCTATTTTTAGAGGAAGACTTTTGCATGCAGGTGATGATTCAAATGACAAAATCTGTATTCAATGGTAAAATGAGTAAAGATGCAGCGAAATCTTTCCTTCTATCTGCGCGGCAAAATGTACTACTCCTCGCAAACATATGGGGATCACTGCATGGGATCACCATAGATGCAACTCGTATGATTGAACAGATACCAATCAACAGTGGAGCGGTTATTCATCGACTGGGACTTAAGCCGGAGCTGACCTCTCGTGTGTGTTGCCCGAAATGCTTTGCTTTGTATCCACTTGACGTTGTGGATACTATATGCACCGAACGCTTCCTTTCAAAGTATCGAACATTCGAGAAGTGGACCCAGTCACAAGATAAGGTGCCGAAATGTGATCAAGATCTATGGCGTACTAACTCCCAGGGACAGAAGAAGCCAGTCCGAACTTTCAATTACGTGACCTTGGAAGCATGGTTGAAGAATAGACTATTAAATCAAAAATTCGAGACCTTGCTAGATTCCAGTTTAGCTGCAGTGAACCATACATCTGAGATGGCTATGGAAGATTTGTGGCATGGGAGTGTCTGGCAAGAATTTCCTAACAATGACCAAGGAGAAGGGATATTCACTAGAAGCTCTGGAAATCTTGTGTTCAGCCTTTACCTTGACTGGTTCAATGCTGGTGGAACCTCAAATCTAGGGAAAAAGAACTCTTTGGGGGCTATTACACTGGTCTGCTTGAATCTCCCTCCCACTGAGCGGTACAAGGTGGAAAACATCTATCTTTTTGGGATTATTCCTGGTCCCAAAGAACCTAGTTTGGAACAAGTAAATCACCTTTTGCGGCCCCTGGTTCAAGAGCTTCAAATGTTTTGGTCGACCGGTTGCTTTTTCAAGTCAACATCTGCTCACCCCAATGGACGTACAATCAGAGTTGCAGTCTTTCCCCTAATTGCAGACCTCCCAGCGCTTCGAAAGGCAGCGGGCTTTGGAGGGCACCAAGCAACTTTATTCTGCTCCTTTTGCCTGTTGGATCAGAAGAACATTGAAGAAACAGACAAATCCAAGTTTCCACTCCGCACCCATGAAGAGCATCTTGCCCACGCAACTGAATGGCTAAACACTGACAGCCGCACCAACAGGGATGGACTGGTGAAGAAGCATGGTGCAAGATGGAGTGTTCTCAATGATCTCAAATACTGGCGTCCAATCGAATATTCCTCAATTGAATTAATGCATGCATTAGCTCTTGGGGATCTGAAAGACCACAGCATGCGTTATTTTGCTCTGCCAACGGCTGGTGAAGAACTTGAAAAGAAGAAAACAAAGGATGAAGCATGGCAGAATGATCAGTCATACACAGAACCTCCCTACACCGACACATATGGTCCAAAGAAAAAGGAATATGTCACAATGGGAAAAGGCAAGAGAAAGCGTGATTCTAATCTCCCCATTTCACCCACCGAAAAACCAAACAAAAGGAGACGTGTGCCCACCAACAAGTCCCCCACTCCCAGGAGTTCAGCAGAGGAACAGGGATCAAGTAGTAACTCATCTGCCAACACGGATTCCAATGTTTCAAACTCAGACAATTGCAGCAGATCATCTACTCACTCATATAAGCTCCGCGTTAGAAAGCAAATGTTGTACGATATGAGTGAACAGGAATCAATTGGGTCAGATGGAGAGTCTTGTGCAAGTGACAAGACTGCGAGACAACAAAGAAAGGGAAAAATGCGTGATCAGGAGGCGGAGAAATCTGACAGAGGAATTCGGCTTACTGCAGAAGAGCTTGATGTGGTTAGAAGAACCATCATGCACACCACAGTGACCTCTTGGATGGACTGTGTGCCTCGGAACTTGGGGGCAGCAAATCAAGGATCCCTGAAGGCTGCAGAATGGTTGATCCTGTACAAAGTATACTACACCATCTCGTTGATTCCACTCTGGACTAAACCAAACACTGGCTTGGAAACACAGGAAGAGAGGAGCCGCACTTCTGCCCTCCTCCGATCAACCACACTTTTATGCCAAGTTACACAGTTCCTCACTCTTCCAGTTATTAAAAAAAAGGATCTTGACGAGTTTGATGATCTACTACAAAGCTACCGTAAATGCCTTCAAGAGAATTGGCCAGAAGAACCCAGTCGTCCGAACCTACACCTGACCCAACATTACCCTGAGGTTATACGGAGGTTGGGCCCACCTAGATCTACAGCAGAATGGGCCCAAGAGCGGGTGAATGGAATTCTGCAGAAGCTCCCCACCAATCATCATCCAGGTATGTTCCTAACTTATATCTTCTTGAGGAGTGTGTCACCATGCTAACCAAATAAATACACCTATCTTCTGCAGACAAGATTCCCAAGACAATTTTGAAAGAATGGCATGTCAATTCAAGCTTCAAACTGCTATTGAATAGCCAAATGAAAGATCCCACAATACAAGATTCAATGTCCAAGTCAAAAAACACCGAGCAGTTTGAACTTGAAGGGTCACACTTGACCAAGTGGAAACGTGCTGTTCTTGCCAAAGCCGCTACAAGGGGGAAGCTTGGCAGTAATGAAATTTCTCTCAGCCCAAAGGTCGTTTCTCAGAAGGCTTTCGAGATCAACCAGAAACGATTTACCTCCTGCACGGGACACAAGGGGAATAGTTTGGTGGAGTTTTTTCTGGGAAAGGACCAAAGGTTTGGTGAAATCCAAACGATTTTCACATCCAAACAAACACCCGGAAAGACTTGGATAATTGTGAATCCATTCAAAGAAGTACAAAGGAACGAAGATCCATACCGAGATTATCCTGATCTTAATTGCCGGCTGGTTCAGTCTGATCATGAGGTGGAGGTGGTGCTTGACACAGAAGCGGTCATAGGACACTGTGCAATTCTGAGGCACCAATGTGGTACTTTTGGCATCACAAAGGAGACCATCAGCGCAGTTGGATTGGGAACATCTGTAAGCACCCCTTTAAATAAAAGTTTGTTCACATGATACATACACTAAATATGTTTTCGATCTGTGAAGGGGTGGGAGGGTCTTTGATTTAGGTAAAACTTGGAGATAACTTGGTAGTTGGACCAAATCATGTCGGTGATCGTTGAAAGGAAATTGTATCTTGCCTAAGCTGGAAGTCATGACAAAAATCTGGGCAGAAGAGAAGTGTAGTTAAAAGTCCGTTCAACTCATGTTGCGAAGATGTTCAAATGAGCTTCATCCATGAACCCAATATCCCTAGATTATAATTATTTTTGACTACTCCTACTATCATCGGTCTCATAGTTTACTCGTTACAGTTCTTATTCCTGTGATTTCTTGTAATGCCCACCAACACAACCGATGATGCAACCAATGAGCCCACTGGGGGTAATGAAGGCGAAAATCCCGGCGGTGCAGCAACTGGGACGGATCATCCTGATGGTTCCCAATCATCCCTTTCCCCCGATGAAGCCATCATTGCCTTTGTGGTTTCCAGTCTGATTCCCAAGTTCCAAGAGCAGGCTAGCAGCACTCCGATGGAAACAGATCAAGATGCGTCAACTGGGGGTTCGTCAAATATGTTATCTTTTGATGAGTTGTGGCTATTCACACATACTGATGAGCATACTAATTTCAGACCAGTCTGAAAATCATTCAACGATTCCGGCAAAGTTGCCGAAAGAACCACAGTTGCCAGCTAAGTTTGTTGTTGCACAACAACAACTGGAGAAGGCCGATGCGGAAGAAGTGGCGGGGAGAAAAAGAACTGAACGGCGTGCGAGGGGAATGGCTCAACGCAATACGACCGTCGGCCATTTTCAACCATACGCCAGAGGCGTGCAATCGTTTCTTAAGTTTTTTCTTGGGGGTCCTGAGAAGCCTCACGATTTCCCCCCACCTCCCACAGAAAAGGAGAAGGAGGCGCAGTATTGGATCGAAAGGCGTACTCAATTTATCTTGAAGCAGCTAGATGCCATCCGTCAAACCCTTCGTGAAAAATCCGTTGTAGAACAAGACTACTTTATCTCTTGAGCAGAATCTGAAATTCGGAACAACATCCAACCACCCCCCTTCACTCCAGCTCCCAAAAAGGGTGAGCCCCGAGGCAGCCGACCAATTAGTGCCCAAACAAAAGGTGCGGTTGAGAGAGAGTTGGCATCGGCAGGGATTTCTAGGATGACTTTTGATTGGACGGTAAAGGATTGCGACTCCTCAGCGTGGAACTCGGCGGTGGTAGAAGTAATGGGAAGGAAGGCGGTGGAATGGCTCCGGCTTTCGATGAAAATAACCGAGGAAGATGCAGCGCAGGCACCAGCCATCATTCAGCGGTGGGTCCACGGAAAATGTCGAGAGATTCAACAAGCGCAGGGGGTGGAAGTCAAGGAATATGAAGCTGGGAAGAAGGCTAAGTTAGCAAAAGCCCAATATACCCGCTGGCGCAAAAAAGTAAGTGCGTTTCCCGTCTGAACCTCCGAGATATACCAGCCCAACTGATATATGAAAATCATCCATGTCTTCAAGATTTGTGAAAACAGGTGTGCGATGGCGGCAAAACTCTACCCTAATAATCATCGACTAGCCGTTGTTCTTGCGGATAAGGATTCACATTCGGATATCGAAGGGGCAGAAAAGGAGGGGGATCGGCCGGTTAGATGTGTGCCTGTTTGGCGAAGCGACTCACTTACCACTGTGATGCATGGGCTGGACAAGATGGTGATTGCTCAAGCTCAGCACCACAAACAAATATCGGTCAACAAAGACCTCTACGGACGTTCAAAATCCATATTCAGCAGGAAGAAGGGGATCGATGGAGTTCCACGGAATCTCCCTATTGATTGTTATAGCAAGTCATGGCGAGATGGATTATGTAAATTCGAGCAAGATACAGTATCCGAGGCGGCCGCGTTTTCTGTCGTAAACCTGGCCAAGGGGATTGATAGTCTTGTGACATTGGCACCTCCGGCAGGACCCACCGGAGCTGGAGGATCAGTGGATGTGAGATCAAGTGCTCAAGCCGGTCCAAGTGGGGAGAGGTCCATGAATGTAGACTAAATTCTTTTATATATGCTGTATTATCTTTGGATAGGAGGAATTGTACTTGAGTACTGGGCAGGAATTATATTACTTGTTTCCGGTCTGTGTGGAGGTTTTGTCAAAGAATTGGTACATGAAGATTAATGGCGTTGGGTGGTCGATGGTACATATGTGGTTTAGAGGCTTGGGACATCCAACCATGAGATTTGCAGGAGCGGCAAGCGCACTCATGTGTCACACAAACGTACGCGCGTACGTTTGTGTGACACATTTTTGAACACTGGTCCCTGCCGAGGTGCAGAATCTGCTCATGTAATAATCACACTTCATGTGTAATAAACTTGTTCTTTGTGTCTTCTGCAACTTAACCTGTGCACAAATGTTTTTGAAGGATGTCTGAAGTGTTGTGCAACTGCTGGGTAAACAGGGTTTGTCCTGCCCTTGCCCTGAAGTTCAATCACTGTTTTCCCTGACTTGAGGATTTTTCGGTTCCTGATTTCCCTTGAGAGAGGATAATCATCTGCCTGCCACATGGTAGATTCCAACAAAGTTATTCTAGACCAAATCTTAGCTATGGCATAAGAAGCATGTTGGTGGAGTGAGCTTAAACACAAGTAAATACACAGCTTTTCCCAAGGGTGGTGATGCTGACCACACCCAAAACTATAAACAAAGGATTATCTATCCCCTGTGTGATGTTATCATCCTTTGATGTGCTCAGCGGTACAAACAATAGATTGTGGGTGCACATGGTGAAAAAATTTTTCACCGTGGGACTGTTACCCATTCCAGAGACGTCAGTAAGGGTTTAAAAACCCCTCTCCTGTTCTCGATTTTGCTCCTTCCTCCCCCCATCCCAAAAAAAAATAATAATAATTCCATCCATTCTGGAATACCATCTCAACATCACATATAGTCCTACCCCCCTCTGAAGCTCATCCAAAAACAATGGATCCTATCTCCCCAGCAAGTGATACGACCAAAAGCCACACCAATTCCGAAGATTCTGTCTCTGAAGAAGGCCATGGAACTCCTCCCCCAAGTACGTCCCCTTGATCTTGACTTCATACCCACACTGACTAAGTATGGCCTCACTTGTCCAACAGCCGACACTGTACTAGCCAAGAACTTCCAAAGTGTTCCCCCCCTGTCTGCTCCATCAGTTCGCCCCCCTTCCTTCCAAGAGTTTGCTCTCAAAGCCAATGAACCAAGCTCGTCTGCCCCACTGATCCCTGCTGAGCCCATACTCGACACTGAAATCCAACAAATCACTGCCGAAGAATTTAATCGAAACATGATGGCGGCCGAGCAAGCTACACGTGGCCTCCGCAACCTCAAACTTCCCAGGAGCCTGAAGGAGCAAGTTGAATCACTTGAGAAGTCTCTTGTTCGTACCAAGAGAAGTAAGTTTGAAGTTTCATCTTGATTCTTACCTGAATTGTCTGACATGCAATTACCACAATGAAATTCTGATATAGCTTGGGAAGAAACTGGCGAAATTCCTGATGATGAAGCAATCAAGATCCACCAAGGCGCGACAGCAGCCCCTTCTTCATCAACACCCAATTTCAAAAAAAACCCTCCACGCAAAAGAGGTAAACGCAATCCGGCCACCAAACCAGCTGACTTACTCAATCAGCACCCAAATCCACCGCCGAATCCTCCCGCTGAGACTACACCCAATCAAACTACAGCTCAATCGGTGCCCAACTCCCAAACAGCCCCAACTTTGCCCACCCCTGTCTCAAACCAAGCAAACCCTCCGTCGGACACAGCTGAGAAAAACAATCGACCCAGCACTCCCTCGGACAACCTTGGAGCAGACTCCGCCACAAACTCAACTCATCATCAACCGTCAATGCCACCACCCAATTTACCATCTGGGCATGTCCAAAACCAAGCCAAAGATCCAACCCCCATCTCCAGCTCTCAAGTTACTACTCAACAACAGCAAACCCAGATCCCCAACCCCCCGCCGGGCCCTACAACCTCTCTTCCATCCGGCAACTCTCAACAGCCCTCTGCTTCCGAAAACCCACCCAACAGTCAAGCCAATTCAAGCCAGCCACAACCAACTCCCACCGAGTCTCCTCAGCTTCCCAACCCGCCCCAAGATCAACTATCCACCCCTCGTACAACACTAATATTACCAGATCAAGTCAACTGATGTTCGTATCAAGTTGAT